GCCGCCGCCGCCGCCCGGCCCTCCCCGCCCCCGGCGCCCCGCTGCGGACCCGCTCGCAGCTCGCCCGGCGCAGAGCGGACTCCGAGCGCCCCGCACCCTTACAGCAATTGCCCCCAATTTGCATGATTACTCCGCATGGGTTTTCCATGCGGTTCATTTAGCGTCAAAAGACACAGACATCAAATCTGGCTTTATCTTCCCAGAGATTAACTAGGAAATTCAGCGACTTCAGTATGGGCTAAAAAACTTTTTAACTTTGTTGGATCGATCCATCTCTCTCTCATTTTGCTTACTATTTAGTGGTGATCTTAGGAACGCCTTCAGAAAAGACTGGAAAAGCATGTTGCCCGTTTTCCTAAAGCCAGATGATTTGCATCCTCTCCACTGCCATTTTCTGAACACTCTGCACCTGAGCAGAAAGTCAGAGGTAAATTCCGAACAGCTTTCACAAGCCAGTGAATGCATTCGAGGAGACCAGAACTTGACAGGTCTGTCTTTATCCCCAAACTCAGCAGTTCTTTTGATCTCTAAATTGCCTTTATTATTCCTAGTGTAGTAAGAAAAAACAAGAGGACATGTTTGTTATTTATAAATGTTTACAATATATTTATTATGTCATGTATATATCATGCATATATTGTACATATCATGCATATTATATATATTACAATAAATGTATAAGCAAAACGGCCTTAGAATGGAAGAGTCTTTGTTTTGCAAGTATCTTACTTATTTGAGTTTCTACAAAGTTGGGCCTTGGAAGCCAGTTGAATTCTGCAAACTGGAGGGAAGAGAGTTCCTGGGAAATTCTAGAATCTAGAAGGAGGGTAAGGAGAGGAGAGAATGCACACCTGGCAGGGAAATGCCAAGACGGGGCCTCACCTCCCCATCAGCCCTAAATCTTCTCCCTGGGAGCCCTGCATTTGCAGTTAGGATGGTTAAATTGACGAATGCTTGTTGTGAATGCAGTTGTTGAAAGGCAGTTCTGGGGTACAAATCCAGTCCTACAGGACAGGGGCTCAGGAGGGCCAGCACTCAGGGAATCCGAAGAAATCCGAGGAAGGGCTTCGGACATCCCCAAAGAAACGAGCGGGACTCCAGGCGGCATCACGCAGGCCCCGAGGCAATTGAAGGCCACAGCTGACATGAGGGTCACACTAGTCCAGGATCTCGTCAGTGACCGAATGGGATTCTTATGCTTATGGAACCTTCTGTGATGGGCCCAAAAGCAGAAAGAAGAGTGACAGCTGCCCAAGGACAACAACTAATCCCTGCCTATCTAGTGTGCACATCTAGCCTCAGGCCTTAATAAATTAGTTATCCCAGAGTGAATCGAGTGGATGGCAGTCCCAATGGCATATATGAGTCCCCCTCTGTGACCTGCCATGGTAGATATGTAAGTGCTACTCAAGGCTGACATCAGAGACTGTTGATCAGCACTGCTAATCTGTCCCTTACTGAATATTTTAATTATGGGATTTCATAATGTTATTAGTCTGCTATAATAAAATACCATAGACTGGGTGGCTTAAGCAATAGACATTTATTGTCTCACAATTCTGGAGGCTGGAGGTTCAAGATCAAGACGCCAGGGTTGGCTTCTGGTGAGGCCTCTCCTCTGGGCTTCCTGGCTTGTGGATGGCTGTCCTCTGACCACGTCCTCGCATGGCCTGTCCTCTGGGTGTCACGGAGAGGGTGAGCTCTGGCGTCTCCTCCTCTTCTTATAAAGTCTCCAGTCCTGTGGGATTATCACCCCAATCTTATAACCTCAACTACCTTCCCAAAGGCCCGTCTCCAAAAATATAGTCACATTAGGGAGTTAGATTCAACATATGAAATGTGGTGGGTGACAAAATTCAGTGCATAACAGTTATTTCACAGGTGTTCTGCAGGTTTGCTGGAAAGAGAAGGGGGAAGTCAATGGTGCATATTCCTGGCAAGCCGAGTTAGAGCAAACATTGCCAAGTCATACTATTAACAATTACTAACATTTACTCATTGTTTACATGGGCCAAACACTGTTGTAAGAACTTTACATATGTCATCCTAATTAATTCTCCATGCAACATTCTGAAGTAGATATTACTACTATCCTCGTTTTACAGAAAGGAAGCTTAGGCACAGAGAGGTTCATTGAATTACCCAAGGTCACAGAGCTAGAAAGTGACTGAGCCAGGATTCATCCCCTAACAATCAGAATGGATGTACTAAACTGCAACACTAGAAAAGGGGCGAAAACAGGAAATGTTTTAAAGGCACAAGTGGGCTCTTTATCTAGGATGTATGCGGAGTATCTGAACAGCAATAGCCTTAGCACAGTCACCAGTGTTGGCTCAATGAGCGTGCAACTGACCTCACATTAATTTTGCATGACCTGGTATCCCTGCTCTGTTTCAGTCCTGTGCCATAACTTATGCAGACAAGATAGTAAGAACGTTTTTCTTTTTAATTGCATCTTCAAATGCCTCTGAGGCCTGGAGAAGATTTGTCGATTCCTACAGACCGGAAAACCCCGATTTTTCTTTCCATGTAGATGAAATAAATAAAAATCAGCATGCATGACTGTTTTCTCTCTTCTTGTACAAACTTGACAGCATCAAAACTCTTCCAACACTCCCTGGAATGTATTTTCCAGAAGTGAGCACTCTCCAGAGATCATCTTTCTGGTAGACTCTTCAGACACATCAGTCATGCTTTTCTCCTCTGTAAGAGGAGAGCTGGCAGAATGCCTCGCTGATTGGGGTTCTTTTTCCGGTGGAGTCATTGGTATGTCCCCCGGTGAGCACTTACGCTTGGGGTACTAAGACCTCCAAACAAGCAGAGCTCAAGGTAGCCAGGGTGGAAAATGGAGACACACACTTTTTTTCATAGGCCAGGAGACTCAATATTGTTAAGTGTAACCACACTGATCTACAAATTGAATGCAATCCCAATAAAAATCCTGGTGGGCTTTTTGGTAGAAGCTGACAAACATATTCAAACTTTCGTATGGAATAAAAAGAACTCAGAATGGCCAAAACAACTTAAAAAGTAAAGAACAAAATGAGAAGGCTAACAGAACCTGATTTCCAGACCTATTATAAAGCTATAGAAAGCAATGAAGCGTGATTTGGTGCAAACAGACATATAGGTCGATGGAATAGAACGGAGCCCAGAAATAAATCCACATATATATGGAGAACTGATGTTCTACAAAGCTGCGGAGGCAATTCATTGGGGAAACGATAGTCTTTTGAATAAATGGTGCTAGAACTATTAAGGAAGAAAAGAATTTCAGTCTATACCCTGCATCGTATACAAAAATGAACTACAAATATAAAACCTCAAACTACAAAATTCTAGGAGGAAACTTCTGCTAATTGGAGTTAGACATAACTTAGACATCATCAAAATTTAAAACCCCTACTCCTCAAAAGACATTGTTAAGAGAATGAAATGTCAAGCCACAGACTGGAAGAAAATATTTGCAAAGCATACATCTGATAAAGAATATATATCCACAATACACAAAGAACTCTCAAAACTCTCAAAATGATAAGAAAACAAACAACCCGATATAAAAATGGGCAAAAGGTTTAAAAAGACATTTTACCAAAGAAGGAATAAGAATGGCAAATAAGTGCATGAAAAGATGCTCAAAGTCATTAGGGAAATGCAAATTAAAACTGGTAGAAGATACCCCTACACACCTATTAAGAACAGCAAAAATTAATGAGACTGACCACACCAAGTGTTGTCAAGAATATAGAGGAATTAGAACTCTCATGCATTGCTGGTGGGGACGTAAATGGTAAAACCACTTTGGAAAACAATTCGACAGTTGCTTCAAAAGTTAAACGTATGATCAAGCCATTCCACTCCTAGGTGTTTACTCAAGAGAATTAAGGTATATTCTTTATAAAGACTTGCATATGAATGTCCATGGTGACTTTATTTGTAATAGTCAAAGCCCAGAAACAGCCCAAAGGTCCATCCACAGGTAAACGAATAAATAAACTGTAATACACACTGAAATAAATGCTACTTACCAATAAAAAGCAATGAACTATTAATAGGCACCAAAACATGAACAAATCAAGTGACAGGGTCACCAAGCAAGAAGACTTTCTCTACCAATTCAGTGGTCTCAGAAATTCTCATCTATAAAACTGTCACAAAGAAAAACTTTAAATGTTAGTATTTAAAAGTCACAAAATTAAGTGTAAAGAAGTATAAATAATTTTCCAAGACTTTTTTGGTGAATTTATAGCATCTATACTTCCGAAGTTATTAAAACCTCCAGATTAAAACTGCACTAAGACTTTTGGGACAGCCTGATACTTATACACACACACACACACACACACACACACTCCCCAGATCTATCCTCCAAGAGGGTCTAGAAGCAGTAATACTCCAGTAGCAATGCGAGTACCCAGCACCCAGATCTTGGTTCATCTGAGAATTTTCATGTCCACTCACCATTCACTCTCTGGAATCATCTATTTCTCCAAAGAGCCCTGGTTCCTTTTAGTAGAGAATGATATTGAGAAACCAAGATCTGGGTGCTGGGTACTCTCTCGTGCAGCTACAATGCTTGAAACAGTGCGGTGATTGTGTGAGAATCAACAGTCCTGTCAAGGGAGCAAACCAGGGAGTCAATGCAGTATGTCGGAACGACTCAAATGGCCCACAATCAGGGAGTGATTTATAAATGGAAGCACATTTACATATTTGAATATTTTATCACAAACATAACTTTAAAATTCCAAATGGCATGTACATGATAGAACGTTAAGTGAAAGAAGAGTGTCAATGATCTGTGGTCACGTCATGTGCTGTCTTGGGGTG